CCTGACTGCTAACTGCGAGGTCAGTGGTGCAACCCAGCAGCCCCTGATGAGAGTAAGTGGTTGGGACAAGGAAAAGATAAAGACAAGCACATATGATCCAGTTGAGGGGAAACCCTTAGCATGAGGTCATAATGGTGCTCAAGGGTTTGCTGATATAAAAAGGACAAGGAAAGCTATCACAAATGTGTGGTTAGTGGCATATCAATATATCATAGCTACTGGCAGGATTACTGGAGCAGGAACAGGGCTATGATTCGGATATATACATTGTAGTAGACAGAGGAGCTTACAAGATTGGTCCGGGGGCTTTGTGTTAGTTGGAGTAGACTAGAGAAACAAATTCATAAATATGCATATGTATATAAGGGAGAGGTTTATATACAAGAGGAATTGAACATGGAGAAAATATCCCAACCCAGTCCAGCCCAAGGCCATAAGTCTGATATTAGCCCACATGTCTGATACCAATCTATAAAATCCTCTTCAGACTCACGAAACACATGCAATGAAGCCAAATGCAGGACGATCACAGGCCAATGGGTAGAAAGTCTTTGGGGCCAGTGGCGTTGTAAGCATCTCAGTGCTGGCAGCGGTCCCTCTGTGGCTTCTCTGGCTTCTGAGGTCTGGTTGCGTCCATGTGGCTTGTCTTTTGCAATGTCTCCCAGGGAGAGAGAGAGAGAGAGAGAGAGAGAGAAAGAGAGAGAGAGAGAGGTCTTCCACCTCCAAGGAGGAAGTCCCAGATTTCCCAGAATTCTCAGGAGAAGGCCATGCCCACATAGAAGTGTCATTGGCTATCGCCAGATTGACAACCTAGACTCCACCCCTACACTCTTAATCCTTAAATTGACACCAGATTACATGACTCCCAAAGACCTCCCCAAGGCAGTTAGGACAGGAATCATGATTATGCAATCCCTATATGATGATTCCCAGGCAAGCCCTCAAAGGAGCCTGCTCCTCCCCAAGCTGGTCAGGCAGGTATTGACCTTTCAAATGCACTGTCTGAGGGCAGGACTATTGACATCCCTGGTTGGTTGATGTTCAGAGGAAATTCAGTGGATGCTTAATCCACATGGGGACTCTGCAAATGGATTTTGGGCTTTCACTGTCATCCTGAACCTTCTGCAAACTAGGTGCTCAGAATTTGAACTCTAATGTAACTCCCTCTTCTGATCATGCATTTTATTATTTAAAATCCTTGGATCAACCCAGGCTGCTGTGCTACTCCCGTGTGGACTTAGCTGATGATTTGGCTATTTTTAAGTCTAGCAGAATCGTTCCACACACCTCATTTACTGTTCCTCCTACCCTGCAGGGGCACCATGTACCATGTTTACATGATTTGCAATCTACCACTCCCCATGCATACCAAACTCACATTTATATTGCCTTCCCCACTCATTTATTGAGGGTTACCAAGACTATAGCTACATCACTGCGGGTAGGGGCTGTGCTTGAGGCCCAATGGCTGGGAATCTAACCTCGGTCCAAGGAAGGCAAGAGGTCTAGGATGGAATGCTGCCTCCAAGGAGCAATCGTACTATTACAATGGTCACCTGGAGGGAGGGACCCAGGAGGCTCCTCTCTGCCTCCTGCTGGAGCTTGTGGGCTCTCTGGGACAGGCGGGGGCACGCTGGAGGGACAAGCAGACTCTTGAGACAGCCTGACGCTGAGACACCTCGGGGCAGAGCTAGCAATCCTCAAAATGCTCTGCTGAGAGATTCTGGGGGAGCCACAGGGAGACATGTGCGACTCTGCTAACTACTCTTCCCAGGGAACCAGTTGCTGGGAGGCAGTTCCTACTCATAGTAACCCCCTAGGCCAGTGGTTCTCAACCTGTGGGTTGCGACCCCATTTGGGGGTGGGTGTGTCAAATGACCCTTTCACCCGAGTCACCCAATTCATAACAGTAGCAAAATTACAGTTACGAAGTAGTAACGAAAACAATTTTATGGTTGTGGGTGTCACCACAATATGAGGGACTGCATGAAAGGGTGGCAGCATTATTAGGAAGGCTGAGAACCACTCGGATTGGTGTCACGCCTGGGGGATTCTTCCTGTAGCAGAGCACGCAGAACACTCATGGTCAGTTTTAATCATAGAACAATATGTGATGCACAGTTACACAGTGCTTAAATGGACAACCTATTACAGTATTGGAATACTAACCCCAAACTCGTTTTGTAAAATCTTTTTGCACTGAACCACAGCATTATTTTGTTACATTATTAGTAACCGAGTGGAAGCCTTTTAAATTTCTTCTCCTTCTTTTCCTTTAATCATGGCTTCATGCTCACAAAAGTTATGTAGACATTCACAAAATACTAATGATCACAATATCCTAGCTGCAGCACGAGAAAAGTTGGCAAAATCTGCAACTATAAAAACTCGGAGGCAGAAAAACAACAACCAACGCTGGCAGTAATACAAACAACAGCACCTGCAGACTGACACCGGGTGATTTAAGGCAACATTGTAATTGGGTCCCAGTGACAGCTCGTGCATCAGAAGTTTCAAAACATGAAATAAATAGTATGGTGCTTTAGCTTTGTAGGTATGTCGATGCGTGTAAGCTGGGTTTACAAAACATGTTTCTGTTGTTATGATGAAGCACAGGGATATTTTTGTTTAATAATCATACATTTCTGCATGACACACTGCATGAAAATTTTACAGACAAAACATTTTGGCGAAACCCCCAGTGATGCCATTCCTCTAGGGTGTCCCAGGCTCTGGTCATAATGGAAGCAGACTCCACCGCTTACTCTCATCAGGGGCTGCTGGGTTGCACCACTGACCTC